GACGAGGCAACGCCCTGTAACAATCACCTTAAATGAATTGCTGTCCAGGATGCATCCTTATTAATATATCCCTTTCATCCTTAACATGTCTCTTTATGTTGATGCTGTCGGGTATTATTTAGACCTAAATTATACGGCCTTTCTTTCTATGAGCTGATATTCTATTCTCTTCTAATGACCTTCCTTTGGACTAATGTGACCCTAATGATCAAGGATGAACAGGCCCAAAGATCTATTCACATCACCCCGAGGCTCGCTGCCTTTTCATTTATCCACTTTCGTCCCAAACTGCTTCTTTTTTGATGACACCCATTACTTTATTCTCATCTATATTTGGTGGCCTAGCTTTAGCTTGCTGACTTACTTGGTTTTGTCTGAACTGTCTCTTGTTTTCTAACCTCTCTCCGACTTCTGAGGGCTAACTGATCCAGTTACTCTAGACGCAATGCTCTGTTACCCTCACACTGCTGGTCAAGACTGAGCGTTATTATTATGTCTCCTCTCTTCCTTAACGTGTCCATTTACGCCGACGCTCTCCTTCCGCCTTCAGAGGTTACTATTACCACTTTCCCCCTAAGAGCCGACATGTTACTCTGGTCTGAATGATCTCCTACCATCCGACTTCTGTGACTCTAATGATTAGCAGTCGGCAGACCTAACGGTCTCTTCAAACTACCTCAGGAATATCGCTGCCTTTTCCACTCCTCATCAATAGAGCCTATTACTTTTCGCGTGCTGTTTGCATTCCCTTTTTAATTGGACAGTTAACGCTTCGTGCCAGACCATACTCTAGCGTCGTCTGACCAGCTTCCTGCCTTCTAACTACTTCCAGATTTTCCAAACGTTAACGATTTAGGCTTCGCTGTCCAAGTATTCTGTCCCCCTTAGTTTAGGACCTTTCCTTCCAAGCAACTGCATTTTCATTTAGCCAATTTTTCCCAAACTGCTTGTTTTCTGTTGTCACTCATTACTTTATTCCCACCGTACTTTAGCGGCCTAGCTTCAGCTTGCTGACTTACCTGGTTTTGTCTGAACGGTCTCCTGTTTTCTGACTTCTCTCGGACTTCTGAGATCTAAATGCTCTAGTCTCTGCAAACGCAATGGTCTGTCTCCCCCTTCTCCAGAGCACTGCTGCCCATGGTTCGTCATTAATATATCCCCTTTTATCCTTAACACTTCTATTCTGTTGACGCTTCGTTAGCATTAGGACATTTATATTACGGCTTTCTCTCCATCGGCCGATATGCTCCTCTCATCTCCATGGTCTCTTACTTTCGGACTACTAAGCCCATACGTTTGAAACATCGACAGGTCCAAAGGTCTGTTCGCAAAACCTCGAGATCTTCGCAGGCTTTTCCACTTCTCCTTATTAGTCTCCTCCCTCCTGCCTACATTCTTTCATTTTTCCGCTCTTTGTTTGCATTGCTTTATCAATTGCACTGATAACTCTACGGAACTGGCTCCACTCTAGCCTTACCTGATCAGTCCCCTACTTTCTGACTGTTTCCAGACATCCGAGACACAAACGCTCTAGGCAGTGCAGTCACAACACACTCTGGCACTTAGCCTGAAATCTTCGTTTGACATGCTAACTGGCTTTTTATATAGCCTCTGTCGTCCCGCAATTATTCTGTTTTTATGACACGCACTACTTTTACTCCCACTTTAAGTTGGCGGTCTCGCTTCATCTTACTGACTTATCCGGTCTCGTCTAAATGGTCATCTGCTACCTGACCCCTCTCGGACGTCTGAGACCTAAGTGATCTAGGTTCTGCCGACCTAACGCTCTGTGACTCTCATCTCATGAGCATTACTGGTCGTGGTTTATCATTTCTAGCCATTCTCCTTACAAGCTTAACATATCTGTTTCTTCCGACTCTCTGTGTTAACATCCTGGCAATAATAACATCGCATTCTCTCTATGAGCCGACATACTATTCTCGTCTCAAAGTTCTCCTGTCTGATTGCTGAGGCCTTACCGATGAACCATCGACAGATCCAATGGTCTGTTCACAACACTTCGAGACCAATGTATGCTTTTCCACTTCTCCTTAATAGCTTCTGTTCCTTACAAACTTCAAACTTTCCTTGTCGCGCTCACTGTTTAAATTCCTTTCCAATTGGATGTTGAACTTTTCGGGCTTGGCTCTAATCTATCATCGTCTGCCCAGTCGCTTTCTTTCTGATTGCTTGCGGACATGCGAGACATAAACGTTTTAAGCTCTGTAGTAACAACACCCTGTGACCCTCATCCTTTGTGCTTTGCTCGCCATACTTCTACTCATGCCAACGAAATGCTCTGCCCCCTTACCTTAATTACATCACCGGACATTATTCATCCTCCTTTTTATTAACAAGGATGAATCAGCAACTAAATAGCGTCGGCGGCTTCTCCACTTCTCCTCAATCGAACCTGTTTTACTGACCCTTTTTTCCTTCCCGGGGTTTCTGTTGCATTCATTCTTCATTCCACGCTAACATACAAGCGTTTGTTCTCCTCTACTTCTTAGGTTCCTACCAATTTAGTACTAAGGTAACACGTCAATGGCGCTGCTTCTGAGTGATAATCTTTCCCATAATCTGCACACATCGTCCTCCTCTCACTGATTCCCACCAATTGGGCATATGCGCATTAGAGCCCATCAAACTCTATTTGCTTCATCATCCTTCTTGTCTTACAGAGAATTTACCATTTATTTATTTATTTTGGAACAATCTTTTATTCTGTAATGATTCATGTTCTGCCTGCTTCTCGTTTTATTTCGCCACTTATGATACACGTGTATATGTCATATTTAAATAACAATTACATGTATGGGGGTACAATTGTTCCGTCATCGTTGCAATTGGTCGACTACGTTAAAGATGCATTCCATGCTTCTGTTTGTGTGGCTGTCTCTGTTCGTTGACCTTTTTCCTGCGTTTGTCACAGGTACGGCGTCACACATCCAAGGAATTGTCCATCTTTGGGACGACAATAAAAGGAAGACAGTTCCTTTATCTAGACCTGAGCTGATGCTTAGCAACCTTTTCTACAACTTACTAACCAGAGATGTTATTCGTTATCTTGCGCGGATAATATTTTTCCGAGGCTTGAACCATTGGGTTCAGTTTGAATAACACTATCTCGTCCACAAACCTCTTACTTGGAGCAACCCTATTGACTTTGGAAAGCACATACTCCTGCCGATCGGAAGTCAGAACAATTGATCATTCTGAGCTCATCAATCCACTTTGACCGCTCAGTTGGCCGTGCTTCCCAGAATTCAAATCAATTTTACTACATACTCCGGGGATCTGCGATTGGTTATTCGCAACCATATCCTATCCTTCATGAGTTCAAAAACAGTTCGACCTATTTTAATGTATAGCCCTCGGTGACTTCACGTGGTTGAGCAGATGCTCAACACATCATATACAAAAGGATGTTTTGTTCCCGTCCTACCAATCGGGCACAGCTATTCGTTTAAAACAGGACAGGACCCAGGAACGCAATGGGCACCCGCTTATCACATCAGACAGCAGAAGGTTGGGACGCATCCTGACTGCGAATAGCCGAGCAAACAAACGTTCTACAAGAAACATAACCAGTTACAAGTTGCCATTCAATTGATTGGCGGCAGTGTTTTATGGCGTGGTGGGTTATGGCCTGGAAAGTGTTCGCCCTATAAAATGCCACAAATGTCCGTTTAACAACACGGCAACGTGGCGAATATGACTAGCCACCGAATAAAGTCACTGCCCATAGCTTCACATTGGCTGGCCAACTAGCGTCACCATTCTAGATAGGTTTGTTACACTGGCACTTCCACAGTTGCATAGCGTGTTGTCTCCTCTTTCTACGAATTCAAGCATATACTGGCCTCGCTTTATTTTCTACGATACCACCACTGACCTTTGCGTTTCTTATGCAAGAAATCACTATATGGTCATATCTCTCTAGAGCGTGCTCCTCAATTAGCTTCCAATGTAACATTCAGGATTCTAAATCTATAGTTAGCCGAGGTATGACTGCAATATATGGTAGTCCGATTGTGTCCTAACAAACGGGTCCCACTCTTACGATAGCCAAATTATTGTTTCGCATTTTGACCATTGTACAGTCCCCATCATGGAGGTAGGAATAAGTTTCTGCTGCCGCTGTCACAGTTGCCAATAAATATCCGTACAATTGCACCTAACTGGTCTTGCCTCCAGCGGCGCGCCAAGCATATTCGGGAATAAATTTTTATTTATTTATTTAGTTGCATTTATTGTGCTTGCATTGGTGACATTTGTATAAGCAATTTAGCGTTAAATGCTGGTGCCGAGCGCCGGTGGAGAACTTACGCCTGGAGGAACCGATGAGAAGTGTATCGCATTAGGGGACTACTAGGCTTGGCTCTGTCACACTAGACTTTGATTGGCCGTATGTTTTACCGAGAGCTCCGTTGTTTCATTCGTTGTACTTTTCGTAAGGTGGTCATGACTTTCAACAACCCACCGTCATTGTAACGTCCACCGTGAACGTTGAATAACGCGTAGCCAAAGATCCCGAAATCAAAACAAGTCGGATCGCAAATACTACGGTACTATTAAAATATATACAGTTGTTAATTGGGACATACTTCAATTGTTCAGTATCCCGGTATATGCAAGTCGACAACACAGTGTCAGTAAACAATAAGAGGGACGAGTTGTTTACGCCGGACAAATCAAGGGAGCAAATCACCGCACCTGAGTGCTACGAGCATTAAGACTAATGGTTTTGACCAATCAAGGAATAGTCCAATCACAGGGTGAGAGTTTAATGGCACGCATAACATGGTGTTTGGACAAGCGACCAGTGAATGGGGGAGTGGGTGCGACACGTGCTCCGGGCTGAACGTGTCCTGTTCGGCGAAGAGTAGGGTTGGAGATCCAAGGTCGTCGGTAGACGCACACGCACGGAACCAGTGCCGGTGATTAGCGTGCACACACAGACACACATACAACGCTAACAATGGGAATTTAAGCAGGCGCACATGAAAGCTGGTCGATATCCATCAACGACCGGCCAAGCTGTGCAGACTAGACCACGAAGCGAAGAGTAGAAGAATTGCATGGGTAAATAAGTGCGTTACACTGCCTCCGAAATTCTTCTGCGATTGACGTCTCGTACGTCCCCGACTCCACTCTGGCTCTCGGTCCTGCAACTGCCTACAGTAGCGCTCCTTAGGAAAACAGAAGGGAAAGCAACACAACCACACGAGAGCGCCTTGGCAGGAGCCGTTTTCCATGACTCCCACCAAGCGCCGTTCGTGGGCGTCTGTGGGCATCGAAGCGCTTGGGTGAAAGCCGTTTTCCATGACTACCACCCTGCACTCCAAGCCAGACTAAAGCGCTGCTACTCCTCGCCCTCCAGGCGGCACACCTTTCTGACATCTCTTTTTAATATACCTGGTTTCCAGCAGCGAGCCTGATCTGTGGATACTGCGGGAGTTAACTTGGGGACTTCGCCACCATGGAGCAGGCTGTGATGACGAGATTGGCAACCAGCGGCATTGCAGGTTTGGCGAATGCCACAGTTTTTGGCGATATGGCCCCGTCTTAAGCAACCGAAACAGAGGTTCTTGGTTTTTAACATTTCCCATCGTAGCGATATGTCCACTTCTCTAAATATTCGACACTCCACGGCCAAGCGGTTGCCCGAACAAACGGGGCAGGAGTGGGTGGGGCGGGCAGGCGACGTAGTTCTCCGACCAGCGTAATGGCTACTTATCGCCGGATACTCTTTCCTTGGAGGAGCTCTCGTAACAGTCGTTTTGACACGACGGGGTGATCGATCGGCTAACTGTCCGAACCGGCTGCGAGCTATGCGTGTCCGCGATGAAACAAATGTGGTTAACTTCAGAAAACTAGGCTCATGACCGCTAAGCGTTAGCTGATCGACGACTTTGGCCCATTTGTGCTGCAGGGTGTTCGGTAGGGCACGGACTATATATACAAGGGTGGTGGAGAAGTCTACATCTGCCTCATAGTTCCTTTGTTTCAATGTGATGTGGCAGTTCTCCATCTTAATGGCCAATTCCGACAGGGCATCTACGTTGTTGGGAATGGACTTCGCGCCTTGAAGTGGGCCTTCTATCGACGCCCTAGCAATGTAGTGTGCTTGCCCGAAGAGGTCTCGACGGATACATCGAGCTCTTTCATAACACTGACCGGGCGGCAGCATTACGCAGTTGCCAATAGCCAGTCTATCTCGTCCCTTACAGTAATGAATGAGGTAGAGCAGACGTCTTCCGTCATCTACCACCTTGCTCTTCACATAGAACTCAAAATGCTTGACGAACCTCCAGTAGTCAGCTGGGTGCCCATCGAAATAAGCCAGCTCTACCTTGGGGAGACCAGCTTCCGCAATAAGTGGGACGAGAGCGGACGCTATAGCGTTTCCCAACGTGGCAGTGAGGGGGTCATTCGGCAAATCGTTATAACAACCGGTGGATGGTTGATTTGCAGCCAACGCAGCACATTCCGCGACAAACTCGTCAACTCTGTTTGACGAATAAATAGGGTGTGCGGGCAGGTCTACATCGCCTTGTTCGTCTTCAAGCAAGGCGTTACGCTGGGCGAATTCGACCTCCTGCCTAGCATTCAACAGTCTACATTGGGCGAGTTCGACCTCCTGTCTAGCTTTCAACAGTCTACGCTGTTTGCTAAGTTCCTGCTCCCTAGTTTCTAGTTCTAGCTCCTCCTTGAGCTGCTTTTCTTTCAACTCAGCAAGCAGGAGCCGTGAGCGCGTACTGCTAACTGAATTTATATAGCTAACCCGAGAGCCAGAGTGGGAGACAGCAACAAGAGGGACTTGCCTTGACTTGGATGAGTCCTTTGTCCGGGTGGATGCACGGGTGACTGACATTGCGAAGAGGCACCAATTTGGCACTTCCGGATACGAGTACCACCAAACCGAGGGATCCAATTAAGCAATCCGTCGAAGAGAGAACCAAATTGAATACTGCCGCCGAGAATTGAATACTGTAACGTCCACCGTGAACGTTGAATAACGCGTAGCCAAAGATCCGGAAATCAAAACAAGTTGGATCACAAATACTACGATATTCAATTGTTCAGTATCCCGGTATATGCAAGTCGACAACACGGTGTCAGTAAACAACAAAAGGGACGAGTTGTTTACGCCGGACAAATCAAGGGAGCAATCACCGCACCTGAGTGGTACGAGCATTAAGACTAATGGTTTTGACCAATCAAGGAATAGTCCAATCACAGGGTGAGAGTTTACTGACACGCATAAACATGGCGTTTGGACAGGCGACCAGTGAATGGGGGAGTGGGTGCGACACGTGCTCCGGGCTGAACGTGTCCTGTTCGGCGAAGAGTAGGGTTGGAGATCCAAGGTCGTCGGTAGACGCACATGCACGGAACCAGTGCCGGTGATTAGCATGCACACACAGACACACATACAACGCTAACAATGGGAATGTAAGGAGGCCCACGTGAACGCTGGTCGATATCCATCAACGACCGGCCAAGCTGTGCAGACTAGACCACGAAGCGTAGAGTAGAAGCATTTCCTGGGTAAATAAGCGCGTTACAGTCATCAAAGCACCGGTTGTACATTCTTCGGTTGTCTTCATGCTCGTCTACCTTTTTTATTTGGAACAATAGCCCCCATGGTCGTCCAATAACAATCGCACAAAATAGTCTAACAGCCTAGCAGCCATTGCTGATTCAGCTTCTGTTGCGCAGTGTCCTAACCATGACGCATGCTGAACCAACCGCAAATACAGGCGTGACTGAGACCGTCAGGCTTCAGGTAAGGTGGAATAGTATGTACAAGGATGCCTGTCTACGCCACCATCCTAACCATATACAGGCCGCTTAAAAAGCTCCACATATTAGTGGCTAGCTATCAGTAAGCATAGACCGCTTCATAAGGTGCTTTTTCTGTCCTTCCCAACTGATTACAGCGTATGCATCGGATTACGCGGTGGCTTTATCTCTTTCTCAGGCGGACATGACGAGTTGTCCATTGGAACGTTTCAGTTGGGGGAGCAACCATCGGGGTTCCTTTCAGACACGCATCAGGATAGCAAGGATGTCAGTGCTTTACCAGTTTTATTACACTATCTGTCGTTTATGCTCGAGGCTTCTACCCGGTGTCCTATTGGCTAACGTCTCATGACCAAGGAAAGCGTCATGGACGCCAAAACTGCATTCTACGGCTCGCAAAATTGCATGCACAGCAAGCGATTTTGTAATTATACCACACTAAATGCTTGTCGGGGTGCGCTGCATGACTGTACAACGGTATGGATTTCAAAGTTGACTTCGAATCAATTAATAGATGTTTCCTTTTGGTCTGGCTACCGAGGAATTTTGTGCTCCACTAATACGCAAATGTCCTAAGAGCACTGTACGTGTATGGTTCAGGTAGCTGTTGGGCTTATGGCAACGCGTTGTCATGCGATCTCTTCAGCAACGCAATATAACTTTGTCCCCTGTCACCTTTTCTCCTTAACGTCGCCATTGACGAAGGCATGGAACCAGCGTCCACTGGTCACTACCTACAAGGTGCGGAGCTGCTCGCACATGACAGAGTTCTTGAATTGGTGTCCGCCGATGATATTGCTCTCATCTGTGACAGCCCCCAAACTTGCTAAGATACACCGGATCAATTAGATCTGGCATAGCTGCATTCACACATTAGCACATATCTGGCGGGGACACGGCGTGAGCTTTGAGCGTGTTTGGCTTCACGTATTTGGAGCAGGCAGAGCGAGAGAACGGCTCAGCACCCTTATTTCATGCACCAGGCTCCGACTGCTGGGCTACCTGTTGCGCATGCAAAAATAACTACTCAAGCGTCTTGTGTTTCGCGCGCCCGCGTCTGAATGGAAGCGAAAAGGACGCGAAACGATGACTTATAAACAAGAGGAATGGAGTCCTCACTTCGAAGTCGGCGTCCGTTGGTGTCTCTCATCTGCCGGGCTGTGGTCCGAAGGCCGAGTAACATGTTTGGCTTGCTGCGCTTATTGGCATGGCAACGAGTCGGCCTCAATGGCGTTGGTGTTGTGTCCTTTCCCTCCCGTCTAGTAGCAATCTCATGTATAATATGCAATTTTCATATTAGTACTAGTATAATTTTTGAGTCAGTAATGTCTAATATCTAAGCACTTTTGTATTGCGGCACTTTACCTTACGTGTGTTCCTCACCCTCAGCTGACATGTAGTAATGACGTTGATAAAAGTTCACTGTGCACATGTATACTACCCTTGCCACCAGTCACCAACGTAGTGGCGCCCTTTCTTGACCGTATGCATTACCTGTGGTTGTTTTGGGCTGGTGAGTTAATACCGATTATGCTCATGTGTACCACTAATGCATCCTGACAGGACTTAACAGCTGCCTGCGGGTATTTGGAATTATATTTGCTTTGGAAGCTGATGAGATGAGATCTCGGTAAACACACATCCACCAGTGTCTACCACGAGCTGCAAACAAACATATTTCATATGTCTACTCATGAGTAGCCAAATATAAACAAATTTAAATTGTTCCTTGCTACCTCACATTCTTCTGCACCCAAATTTTTCGCAGCTGTGGCATTTTCTGTGAACAACGAGGTTATGCGGATCCCGTCTACTGTTCGCAATCTGGAGAACTTGCTATTAGTGATAAACTTTCAGCTCTATTTGGTAGGGCCCCGGTAGGCACAGGACCGGTATAAATGCACATGAACTCATTTTGTGATGACGTCAATCTTGTTTGATAGATATTGTCACACGAAAGGTACGTACACACTGACACCATTACTGCGAAGACCGTTAGTTAATGTATATTGCTTCCGCAGTAGCGTTTTTAACCCATCGTTTAGAGTGAGGTTAATCGCAGTTGGCACCGAGTCGAGTTCATTTAACTCGAACAGCATGCAGTCAATGTGACCATCTTAATTTGGCGTTTGAGATGCGTTCTCACCGTCTTGGAGCCAGAAGCACTTTTCTTCTAGAAACGGTTCAAACTTTCGGCTTTTCATTGGCCATGCTATGGATTCGGAGGGCGAGTATCCTCACGGATCACTGTTAGTACGTTACTCGAAGGCGCCTCTGACCCTCGTTTTCCTTCGAGTACAAAAACAAAGTCGTGAAGAGATGGTTGAAATATCATTATTAAACATAACCTCTACTCACATGGAAGAATAGAGTAGTTTCTGATCTCACAGTGGGACACTCTATGGACAATAGCAGGTAGATCACATGATATACTAAATCCCCGCTTTAAGCGGATGGGTTGTCAGCTGGCACAGAACCAATTGGACGCTACGATTCTAGCTATTTTCTGAGTGTTCTAGAATACAACAAACCAGGTAACTACAGGGAATACAAGCGAAAGAATTCGGTCCTATTAAGAAAGCTTTGCATTGTGTATTACATGCAAGCGCAGCCAGCTGCGGTGTCTTAGGTCACAACAAAAATCGGTCCAGACAGTTGTGTATACCATCCTCGATCTTTTGTAGAACGTTTTATGTTTACCCCGGTTTCAAACAGCGTAGGTTTGAAGCATTTTATCGACAGGGTTAAGCACACAAGATGACATTGTATAAACTAAAGGCGGTTAAAAACGCTTCAGTACAATAGTGGGCCAAAATTGTGGCTAGTGTAACAAGGGTGTGCAGCACCACTGCAGTTCGGCGATATTTGCATCAGTGTGTGTATCATAACAGACTTAACCATAAAGCATGGTGTATTATTAGGTCTGGTGTTTAACGCCACCACAATTGCTGCTTCCAGGAAGGCGTCAATCGTTAGAGTCCTTGTGACGGCCCTAAACACAAAGGTTATTAACAGTGCCGATTGGATTAGTGCTTATCCTCAGCCATGCGTGCATCCAATTTGCACGTTTTTTGGAATGTTACCACGGTAATGAGCGCAGTGAGCGAATATGTGCTGGTCTTGAATCAAACATGACTCTAATCCGCATGTCACTGGGGTTTACGTCGGACATGAGCTGTGCGGATGGCGCTGTGGGGATACCCTGGTAGCACATGTCCAGGTCCTGTCCAGTTTGGCATCCTAAACGTTCCTATGACAGCATTAGGCTAAACTGGACAGGAAGTATTACCGTGAGACGGCTAAAAATGGTTCCTGTCCAGTTTAGGTTGCACCAATGAAGATGATGCTAGCGTTGACCAGTAGAAATTCACCAATATGCGTGACAATCGGGCTGGTCCAGATCCCGTCATTGCCTCCCATGGGTATCCAAATACGGACACCACACTTGAACGCACTATGCGCCTAACGAATATATGGACGGCTCGGACTTAGCGTTCACCCGGTACCTGTTGCGGTATTTGCTGGACTTGGGAACCCACCTAGGCGGCGACTCAAAGCTGTTGGTCAGAAAAGGAAACCGCTCTTACCGCGTACCTGACATCACAAGACGAAAGAAAATTAAAACCGAGGTATATGAATGCTATATATACATGAAGGGTTGCAGTACAAAGGACGTTAGTAGCAGAAAGCGGCATAGTCAGTATTGTTAATCCGCTTCCGCGAGTGTCAACGTAGGAGGCTAGAGATGTGCCTAAGGAAACAGGGGACTCACCTCATTCGCACTGCATACTTAGTTTGCTCAACCGACTGTATTTTGTGCCGTGCAGAATGCAACCACGTTTAGATGTGCCGTGTAATGGCAGCATCCGAGGCTGCATCACCTATGCGTTGCCGAATGATGCCTTGGTAGTTTTTATGGATTACTGCATTTCAACCTACCTTGTACATGACCGTTCATATTTGTTCGCCTGAATGCAAACGAACCTCTAGCGCCGGAGTAATTGATCTCCGCGGCAACTGATCTTGGCATAAGCCGCTCCGTGGTACCCCGGACGATGAGTTGCACGTTATCACCGTGCACAGCATATAAATGGTTGACCTAAACTAGTTGAATAATAAGACGAACTTACGATTCTGATTTTGAAATCGGGGTCCTTCAGCCGTTCATCATATCTCTTTAGCTCACTGAGAGAGATGAATGGCAAAGCTAGTCCCAGGGCAACACTTTGGGATTGTCGTTGTAGCATTTGCAACATCGCTGTGGACATGCGGCGATGGCCGACAAATCTGATCGAATGAGACACAACTCATCTAAAAATAAGGCTGTGTGCAATGCAATACATCTGTGGCGTCTTACATTTTACGGCC